ACGTCCTGACGCAGTCACTCTCCTCTACTGTCTTGTCAGAACAGTGTGTGAGTGTTGGTATGTGAGGACGACCTCTGAACATGGAACAAGTGGTCACGCAGCACGAGGGGCCTCAGATGGATTCATTGAAATGGTCTAGTTAAGGTGTCATGTGTTGGCTCCTACTACTCGTGTCAGAGGACTAGTCAAGGTCTCTGTTTCTATCTAGTATTACTGAGAAAATTCAGAAGGTACCATCTGTTATAAAATAAGGTGGTTGTCATAAGGAAGGAATTCCATCAGGTTGCTGCATAACTCATTTTATAGGACATACAAAAGCCTTCAAGTCAGTATCAACCTCCTCTCACTTAATATATATCAAGGCACTGACTGAGGACTCTGCTGACACTGGAAGTCTGAGGGTGGTCCTTACACAACTGGAACAGTTACCACCAAAAGTGAGAGTGCCATGTTCCAGCCTCACCCTAACCTTCTGAGGAGATCCTCCAAGGCTAGGGCCTAGGAGTCTGAATGTAACTAAGCACGATCATTGCTTGTGATCATTGCTCACTATGTGGCCCCATAATACAGCCCCTCCCTATGCATGGCAGAAACTTGAAGTTCAGAGAAGAAGGTAGCAGGTTAAGATACAAAAGATGCTTTCTTTCCCCATTGCCTATCCACAAGTTCAGAAAGAATCTGGCATATCACATGGGCAACTCTAAAGGTATGAAGAAATGAATAAACTCTCCAAAGTTGTGCAGTCACCCAATTATAACAAGAGACAAATCATAAAGTTCTAACTAGTGGAAATGCCCTACTGTTAAAACCAACATTCATCATGACATGAGGAATTTTAATTTCAAAAGTCCTGTTTTCAGGGCTGGTGAGATGTCTCTGTGAGTAAAGGCTTAACATGTAAGGTTTGCCACCTAAGTTTGATCCCTCAACTGCACAGAAAAGGTGGAAGGGGAGAACCAACTCCATGAAGCTGCCCTTTGACCTCCCCAGGAGCACCATGGCATGTGTGCCCCAGCAACCCCCCACGAACTCCTCTCCCCCACTCACAACTGGCCCCTGAAACAAACAATGGTTTCTGATGCTTCCCCAGGTGAGCACTCCTGGAGCTGTGTGGCTTTGCATACCTTGTTAGTTTGCCTGAGTTTACTCAGCTCCACTTTATACTTTTCTGCTTCTTCGAGAGCTCGATTCAAGCGCACCTCTGTGGCACTCTGACTTGTGGCAGCCTGTTTTTGTAATCTTCTTTTATTTTCTAATTCCTGTGTAGTAAAAAAATATATGGAGTATTGAAATACCGTCAGTTCCCTTTTATATCTTATATTATTTCATTTCCATGTTTCTTGCTTTCATTCAAACACAGCTGCAGATTAAGCATCAAGAAACACAGTCCTCAGGGGATTCTCACCCAAAACTGGTACTAGAAAAAGACACCTAAAAATGTAGCTGTGACTGCCTTTATAATTTTTAAATTTTTATCCTTGTTTTTGTGTAGGAGGGATGTTTTATCTTCATGTATTATGTCTCTACACCACTTGTATGACTGCTGCCTGCAGAGCCCAGAAGGCATCAGCTCTCCTGGAGCTGGAGTTACAGATGTTTGTGAGCTGCTATGTGAGCACTGGGAATTGAACCTGAGTCTCTGGAACAGCAGCCGGTGCTCTTAACCACTGAGCAATCTCTCTAGCCCCAATGAATATTGCTCTTTTTGTTTAGTATTTTCTTCCTCCTTCTACTGATTCAAAACACTGTGTAATTTTCCTCCATATCTATTTTAGAAGCATAACTTTTAAAACTTAATTTTTCTGGAGACAGGATCTTGCTATATGTGTGGCCCAGGAGGGGCTGAAACTCTCAACCTTTCTGTGTCTGCTTCTGAATGCTGGGATTCTAGGCATGCACCTCCAAGTCTAGGTCACTCAAGGGCTTCTGAAAACTCTCCAAAAGATCAATGTAAGCTATCATTTGCCCATCATTTGCTCTTGTGGAGAACTGACAAAGTCTACTGCTGGAAGAAACAATAGATAAACAGAGGGCTGTACATTACCCCCACTGAGAATTCTCCAACCTGAGCAGAAACAGTGTATCTTGCAAAGTATGGGGGGTCTTGTATTTGTACAAATATTCTAAGATATTGAGCTGCTCCAAGTGGATGGTTAACATTTGAAGAAACAATAACCCAGCTCATAAACTGTAAACTCTGTGGTAACCAGCCCCCTCCCCTGCCACACACATTCTATCAGGGGCTTCAACAGCACCGCTTGTACCTCTCCCTGGTGGACATGGACTTTTCTGCCTCTAATCCCCAGTTACCTAATTTGATTTGATAGCCTTTCTTCAGAGCTTCTAGAGCATCCTGATAACAGTTTAGCACAGCATCTGCTGCAGGTGCTAAAACCATTTCCTTGCTTGCTTCTCCCACTGCAGTGTAAACTTTTAAAGTTACCAGCGGTTTTCACTTCTGTATTCCCAGCATCATAGCTGCATGTGAAAGATTGCCGGTGATTAAGAACATTTGCTGCCAACACTCATCTCAGGCAGGTTGCAATGGCCTGTAACTCTAGTTCCAGGAACCTGATTCTCTATTCTGGCTTTGGACACCATCTGCACATGGTGTACATACAGGCATGCAGGCACACACATGCACATAAATAAATAATTAAAAATGACTCAGCTTGTCTTATAATATTGACACCTCTATTGTATCCCATTCAACACATGGCCAGGTTGGCGCAGAGCCTCCAAAGAGCACTCAGTAAACCCACTAACCACTGTAGAGCTGAAGCTCACTTTAATGCTGCAACACTTGTCTCTTTAAGTATTTCTTCTTGGCTATATCTCATCATCTTTGGAAACTCATCTCTGTGGCTTTGAGTAATTAAAGGGAAAAACAAAACAAAACACATGCTGCTCCGTATGTAGGTCTCTAAACAAATCAGGCTGCGCCTGGCGGCCATCTGCTCCCACAGGCTTCTGCACAGCTTTGTGGGAGGAAGCTATGCTGGGAACTTGTTGGCTTTCTCACTGTTCAAGCTGCAGAGCTGCCTCATAGCAGCCTCGATAAGCACGCCATGAACCTTGCTTGTGACTTTGTAACCTCCTTCTCAGAAATCTGAAAAGGATGGCAAGGAGGAAGAACAGCAAAGGAACAAATGGCACATCTCCATGTGAGTAAACTCACTAAACAAAGAAGAAACCTGGGTAAAAACTTTGAAAACATTTGTCTTCAATCATACACCAATAACTCTTTTTGGGTGGGGTGGGAAATCAGAGTCTCACTATGTAGACCAGGCTGGCCTCAAACTCACAGAGATCCATCTGTCTCTGACTCCCAAGTGCTTTTATCCCAAGGGATAAAAGGTTGAACCATCAAGCCCAACACCATGTCCTAATAACTTTTATAGCATTCAGAGAAGACACACTGCTTCCTGAAAACAGATAAAACCACTGCTGTCCCTTGCAAAAAAAAACAAAAACAAAAACAAAAAAACATTTCACATATTGTCAGACAGGTTTTATAGAAAAAAACTCAAGGTTCCAATTTTACACCTGTTTTAAAAGTCTTGAACTGGGCCTGACAGTCAATGACATGGTAATAAAACAGGGCAATGTTATTACCTACATGAAAAAATGGACATTTATTTCATACTACACGCAAACTTAACTTGAAATAGTACACATGTATATGACTCATATGATGTTGATATATAGAGACTACATAAAACTACGTAAAAGAAAAATTCTCATGGCTCTGGGGCAGGCAAAAGTTTCTGGGTAGTATGAAAACTTGAATAAATAATATATACAAATGACCAAAAATTTAAAACTTCTGCCTTTGGAAACACATGCCAAAAAAAAACCAAAAAAAGCAAAATTGAATTACAAAAAATTAGACACAATACCCAAGCGTCTAACAAGGGGGTTGTAGAAGAAACATCAAGAGCCAGAGAGCTTGGTCTTGTCATGTGTGCAGACAGACCACAGAGGGCATGACACACAGCACAGCACAGCACAGCACAGCACAGCACAGCACAGCACAGCACAGCACAGCACA